CCCCGCCCCCCGCTAATGAGTTGGGGGAACTGCGATCCCCCACAATCCCCCCCGAATCGACCTCTGCATTTAACCAACATTGTCATAGAAAAGATTATGATTTCTTAATTTTAATAATCATCATGGACCTTCTGCTGAATTTGGATACATGTCCATATAGCAGATGCAACCCTCTTATGATCTATTCCTACATGAGTACTTTGAAGTGTGGGACGGGAGAGACCCTCATACCTTCACTGAATGCACGAAAAGGATAAAAGGATCACTCAGCCTCTGTGTGTTCACTGGAAGACAGGAACAGAGCTGATACACATTCACCTGTGTACAAGGCTTTTGTTTTCCATGTGATTGTGAACTCTGAAAAAAGCAGGGTTCTCAAGCATGTGGAGACATTGTAGAGTACAATCTTTCTGCATGAAAATTGTTTGCAAAGTACTTGTGTAACTGTCTTTGTAGACAGCCCTGAAGTTTATGGAAACCACATCTGTAGAACTGCAACAAAGTTGGGAGGCAATCTATTTTGAGAAGCAGTCTCAAAATATTCAAACCTGCAGTCCTCCCCCTCCAGCATCTCAAAGGAAAAAATCCAAACAAACTATCAGTTTCTACAGTTAGCCAGGTGGGATGGCCCAAGATACAAACAAGTGCAGCTGTACACTGATTCCACCTTTCAACCCTAAACCTATTTCTGCTCTCAAAAGGCCTTGCTTCCAATGAGGTATATGTTTAGGACTGTGGGCCAAGTATAAACAATTTTTTTGGCTGTATGATCCAAAGGTTACTGCAGTTTTATAAATTTAATTTATTATCATTTTTTTACCTCCACATAATCTGCATCACAGGTTGTGATATTAAGGATCCGAAAGTCAGTGAAATTAAGAATGATGACATTGCCTTCAGGTTGAGAGATGACCCACTCACAGGTCTTGTCGTGAGGGATTGCCCTGGAGTAATATGGAGATCTGAGGACACCGTCACCAGACAAGATACCCCCACAAGCTGCAGAGAGAAATTATTAATTTTATGTACTTTGATGATTTATTAACCACAAGATCAATAAAGTAATCAATAATAAATCAATAATATTAGTTTAGTCAATGAAACCCCTTATATGAATAGGTTCAATGAATAACCTCAACTGGGATAGATAATACAGTTAGACAGCTTTCAGTGATAAAACAGTTTCAGCAAGGGTAACCCAAAACAAAAGCACAAGAAACAGTAGGCCTAGACAATTTTTTTTTTTTGCCAAGTGCCTAAAAAGTTTAGAAGGCACACAAAACAGACCTCTGGGTGGATGGCATTGTACCACTGAGGTGCCGATTCAGGAAAGGCCCTGTTTCTGGCTACCGCCCACCTTAGGTGGAGGCAGATGCCAGTCATAATTGATAAGAGAGAAGGCAGTCCTTCAAGAAATGGTGAATTAATCTGAGTGTGCATTTCGGTTAGTATGTAAATATTCATTTGAAGTAAGAAGTGATTCATGGTTAAGACATGAACACTTTCCATAAGCAATATGTTAGATAAATTATCTGAATTTAGAAAATGAGGGTACTGGGGCCTGGAGATCTCCCGCTTTTACAACTGATCTCCAGCTGATAGAGATCAGCTCCCCTGGAGAAAATGGCTGCTTTGAAGGGCGGACTCTATGGCAATGTACCATGCTGAGGCCCCTCCCCTCCCCTCCCCAAACCCCACTGTCTCCTGGATCCACCCCTGAAGTCTTCAGGTATTTTCCAACTCAGACCTGGCAACCCTAGTACTGTTTTTTGGAAAACTGGGTCAAAATTGCAGTGAGTGCATAAACTGGCATCATGACTCCTGTGGATGGGAAACTCACTATTCCACTGGATTGAGCACCACCAAATAGCAATAGAAGACTTAAGGTGCTGGTTCATGTCTGGAACAGGGCAATCAACTGGCAGGAAGTCGTGACTTAGGGCCACTTCAGCTCTTACCTTTGTATTAGCTTTGATCTTAAGGCTAGTGTCACTAATGGCTAGGGAAGAACTAGTTTTGCAGGTCACATTTACTGCACAGGACTATGGTGGACTGCAAAGGAAGGGGGGGAGGAAAAGTCTAACTAGTAAGTTCATAATACAAGCTCTGTTCAGGTGTTACATTTGATAGTATCCAACTGTGTGTACTGGGAGCACAGACTTCCCATGATCTTCCTACTATGTATGATTGCAATTTCATCTAAACAGAGCACCCCGCATATTTTCTGCTTTAGTACACATTATACAGTATGATAACCAGTGGGTTTTGTGTAGCGTGAACTGAAACAAAAAAAACCACACAGTGCCCTATTCAAACAAAATGGTGACTGCATATATCAGGAGGATCATAGGTAGCATGTACTCCCAGTGTGCTTGGTTGGATACCCCCATGAACATAACAACTATAAAAAGCTCATGATGAGAACAGAACTGGATTCTTCCAGATTTGCAGTTCTGTCTTTATCCTACTCAAGTTCTGTGGGAGAAAATAAACAGAGCCAGGGCTGCTCACCATAAAGACGGGCATTTTGTTCATTTGGTAAAGACTAAGCATTTACTCAGTTGTTTCTAAGAAATAAACCAGGACACTAAGATTCAGCGTCTCTTACCGACTTCATAAAGAGCCCTGAAGCTAGATCTTTGTACTGATGTGTCTGACTTAAATTTGATCCAGAGGTTGTTACTGTTGGAAGTAATAGTGGAGGGCAACACACTTGTACACAACTTGTTGATCAAGGGAGATGTTTCCATGTCACCATCCCGGACCTAACCAGCAAAGGAAAAGAAAAAAAAGATTCACTTGTCAGAACCATGCCTTCAGCCAAATGATCCAGCTTGCCTCTGACACAAAGTGAGCAGAGGTGCAAAACTCCCAAAGCCTGGTAATCACTGGTGCCCGACCTCCCCAAAGTGGTCCTGGTCCAGATGACGGGATTGCTGAATCAGGCTAGAAGCTGATTCTCTTCCTCCCATGAAAGATGATTTGTGTAGTATCTGGCCTCCTCTGATTTCCATAGACCCTAATCAGAGTCAGAAAAACCCAGAGGAGAAGGGCGCCCAATTCAGAAGCCATGGTTACCAGAGGGAGCCCTAGCACCTCTTCATTAAGGACTGACTGAATGAAATGGGAGGGGGAGAAACCAGAAGATGCTAACAAAATCTGTTCTGCCTGGCACACTCAGATCTCTGACTCTCCCTCCTGAAAAGTCTAGCTAGTTCCTGCAAAAAAAAAAAAAAGTACTACAGATTACCAGAATTTTTGTTGTTGTTGTTCATGAAAAGTGTAAGGAAAACATCAACAACTGGAAGAATATTACAGAGTTGAAAAGAAAAGCCTGGCATCATAAGTATACTAAACCTCCATATCCTACATGATCAGACAATCTCTATCTCAGACTAAAAAAACAATCAACTCTGCTGCTCCAACTAGCAATAGATTTCTGCTTTATTTTCAAAACGCTTTTGTGTAAAATTCTGTGTAGCCAGGGCTTGCCTACCCATGGGTCTGTCTTTCTGCCCATACAGTCCTGATACAATGATAAGATGTACACTTTAGCCATCACTGAGTGAGCATACAGTGGCAATTGGCCACATTTCTCTGAGCATGTGCATACAAAACCAGGGTGGCCTCCTGCCATTAACTACACCACAACTATTGCCTTATCCTCCTCTTGCCCATTTCACCCTCCTCTTTCAGACAGAAGCTGAAAGCAAAAGTGTAAATGAATGCAGCTTGGTGCCACTGTTGTTGCTATGAGCCACTACCACACACACACAAACACATGAAGCCTCCTCCTATATAGTCAGACCATTGGCCTGTCAAGGTCACTGTGGTCCCCTTTGGCCGGCAATAGCTCACCAGGGTCTCAGGTGAATATTTTTCACATCACCCACTGCCTGTTCCTTCTAACTGGAGATGCCAGGGACTGAACCAGGGACCTTCTGCATGCAAAGCAGATGTTCTACCACTGACCAATGGCCCTTCACCATGCAGAAGGCGAATGAGTTGCAAAGGTTGCAATTTTTTCCTTGCTGCCATTGCTAAACATTCACTCAAACAAGCTTGGTGCAAGCCTCATTGACGGGAGGCAATGCTGTCACCTCCACACAACAAAGAAGGAAAGCAGCAATAACTGTTGCTGCTCTATATGGTGAGTCAAGCCTTTCTGAGGCTCTCAGGCCTGGAAGTTATCTGATGGTGCTACTTCTTAATGACTCCATGAATAGGAAAATCCAGTGGGCAGGTCAGGATGTTATACACTATCTAGGGATTTATGCACATAAGGGTGACTTCAACATGCATATCTGTGTGGGATTCCAGAAAGAGGAAGGTCATACAAAAGTGGCATACAAATAGCCATTGTTTACAGCAATTTCTCCTGGCAATAAGTCATCATACACTTTGGCTGCCATCACACACACTAAATAATCCACTTTCAATGCACTTTACTGTGTGAACTGGCAAAATCCAATTCGAAAGTGCACTGGTGGAATGAAAGTGGATTGAAAGTGTGTGTGACCACAGCCTTCGTGTGCTTTATTATATGCTTGCTGTGGCAGATAAATGTTACTTCTGGCTTCACAACACAATGTTGTGGTCCCAGATAATCCCGTTAGGAACTAGACCTCTTCCATTCTCCCCTGCTTTCAATGTGGCCAGCAGCTGTATGACTGGATGCTATGGCAACCATGATAGAGAGTGTGTTTATCTGTAGTGTATTTTGTGGCTCTGAAGGCATAAAACTACTTAAAACGTTTCTCCTCACAATTTCCCCCCAGTCTTTTTTTTTTTTTAAACCACTTCATGTAACTGTAGGAGCAATGCCACAAGTAATGTATTTTGGAAAGAGAAGATTTCCACATGGTTATTATAATATCACATTCTGATGTATCTACAAAGAAACTACTCCTGCAGTATAGTAGAAAACTCTTAAACAGCACCAAATATTCTGGCTGTAAACCTTTGTGCAGTATTCCATGTTTTTCTTCCACAGTGTGGGAGAGCAGCCTGAGGACAGACACATTACAGCAAAGCTATCCTTCCTGGAACTGATCCCTGCACTACAAGGTAAAATGCCCCACTGAATTAGTGAGAATTGATTGTGCCCAATGAAAATGGGTTTGTTCCTCTTGCTGCTGTGAATCGTGTGGCTGTTGTGTGAGCAATTAAGGAAGCAAACGATGAGCTCCAACACACAAAAGCTGTCTGTTTTCATTATACAGTAGGCTTCCCTTTGTTTTCAGAAATTAATTACACTTTATTCCAAATAAAATTGAAGGAAAGAAAAAGAAGCAATGTTATTACAGTAACCAATCTTCTGCGGCTAAACCTGAACACATAATTCGACAGATGCTAAAGGAAATTCATAGGGACTTCTCCCAGTTTCCTCAGACTGTGGCTACTTGGGCACATGTAAAGGACTGTGGCAGCCCAGGAGTATGTTTATTGTTCTTTGAATAGTCCATGCTACAGGAAAACTGCATGTCAAACATCCCCAAAGACCAAATCAGATGAGACACTGGGAAATCTGTTGGATGCCTTAATTTGGATAAGGAACATGGCGGGTGGGGGAGAGATGAGGTTAATTTCTCCTTCTGTGCCTCATTGTAGACCTCAAATGAACCCCCTACAGTGCCTATTTTCTTTCATTGCTGGGTGATCTTGGGCCAGTCACACATTTTCAGCCTAACCTATCTCACAGGGGTTTTTGTGAGGATAAAATGTAGGAGAGGAGAATGATGTGATCCATTTTGAATCCCCATTATGAAGAAAGGCAGGGTATAAATCAAGAAAATAATTTTGTAAAATAAACATAAATAAATTTTTAGAAGCAGCTTGCTGCCCGTCATGATCTGAAGTCCCTTTGGACTTGCCCCTGGACTAGCCCCTTGGTTCTGTCAACTTGCCCAATATATTTCTGGGCTCCATATTATGGTAGCCAGTATTAGGCCATGTGGGTACTCCTTGAGATTTGTATGGAAGGTAAAATACTGACCAATACTGCTAGGGTGGCCAGGCTGTTTGCTTGGGAGGGTAACTACCTGCCCCTGGCTTTGGTCCCCTGGCATCACTCAATAGCCTGAGTGGGGAAATGGGGGGGGGCTATATGGCATCCTGTGGAACTGCAATGTCGCTTTTTAGCTGTGTAACTAGAAGTGACAGCATCACATTGTGGGATGCTCTAGGATTTTGCTGAAACTCTATGGTGTGTGTGTGTGTTTGTTTTGTTTACCAAGAGCTGGCCACCTTAGATGCAGCTTCTTTCAAATTGTGCAGAGAAAAGCTACCTTAGGGAAAATTCTGCCTTCCACACAACTCTGAAAGCTACAGAAGCCCTCTACGACCTTGGCAAGGCAGCCCTATCTAAGACTGTTTATCCTCAACTTGTTTTTGGTGCCTAATAACCTAAGATGCAAATTGAGCCTCATCATATGAAGATCATAAATGCTCAGTCTTATCATAGCTTCATATCCATCTACCTTTGCCTCTTGCTGATTGCCAATCTATCCTCTGTGCCTTTTGAACCCTAATTACATGAATAAATATTCTCTAGTGTCTCAGGGCAGAAATTCCATAAGTTCTATAGATAGAGGGATACACAGAGATTCCTTTAAAAATAACGAAGTCACCTCTATGAAGTTCCAGGAGCAGCCTGGATGACTTCCCAGTTCCAGATCTGTGAAGTTGAGAGAGATTTTTTCATGGGCTGGCTGTCGGATAATGTAGATGCACTGCCTGTTGCTGAGGTAAGAATTAGGCCAGTAAGGGGACACAATAACCCCCATACTGTCTGTGTAATTTCCTCCACAATTGGGATCCGCTGTGTTAATGGAAACAGAAAATGTTTACTCATGGTGTCAAATGCAGCACATTAATCTGGTTCTTATCCATAAATGGATGCCATTGTAGACATGATGTGCACAAACACAAATATACTTACCAGAGGATGTAGTGTACGTGACATGGAAGCCTCTGTCACTGTTCACAGCATTGGAATGAAAGTGAACCCAGGCATATGGACCAGTCGTTTGAAGAGGAGGTGGTGACCAAGTGCTGCAGTATTTTCTTAGGAGGGGATCTTGGGGGAGGAGGCCATCTCGAAACTTAACAAAAGCATTAAGACAGTACATCATATATGCAGTACGTCATATATGCAAATAGTACAGATCAGCAATCTACCTGGTCCACCATCCTGTTCCCCACAGTGGCCAGCTGATGTTCCCAGAAGGCTTATGGGCAGGGCAAAGCCTCTCCTCATGGTTCTGGTACTCAGGTGGTCCACTGAACATAGAGGTTCCATTTAGTCACAAGGGGTAATGAACACTGAGGGACCTGTCATCCACTAATTTGTCCTAATCCCCTGCATTCCAAGTCAGCAGCCATCATTATATCTTGTGGCAGTGAATTTCTCTGATTGCTTTTCTGCAGCGTGACATAATAGCACTTCACCAAAGTAAGTCCCTAAGGTCAGTTTGTTAGTTATGTGAGATCACTCCTGTTAAACTACAAAATACAGCACGTTATCTCCCTTATATAATAAAAGCCGAATGGTGGTGGCACTTCTCTAGAACATTCCATATGCTCCAGAAATGGTTGGCGCCCTAGTATGTCACTCAGAATCTGTCTGCTTGAGTCTCACCCCAACATTCTAAACAGTTTGCTGTCCCCCCCCACCACCATAGCCAGTCAGAACACAGAGGTTATTTGCATTTTGCCTCTAACATTCTAAACAGTTTGCTCTTCTGAGGTAAAATGTGTCCAATCTCCAGGTGAGGGATGGAGATCACTCAGAATTACAACTGCTTTCCAGATGGCAGAGATCAGTTCCCCTGGAGAAAATGGTGGGCTCTGTATCCTTATATGCTGCTGAGGTGGCCCCCGTATGACAGCCAATGTGACGTAGCAGTCAGGGCTTCAGAGCACGGGATAGGCTGCAGGTGAGTGGGGGGTGGAAAGCTGAAGAGTGAGGGGGAAATAAAGGTAGGTTGATGATTGGCTGGGAAGGAGATAAGGTTGCCAACTCCAGGTGGGAAATTCCTGGAGATGTGAGGGATGGAGCCTGAAGAGGGTGAGGTTTCAGGAGGCGTGGGACCTCGGACAGGTACAAAGCCATAGACTCCACCCTCCAAACCAACCATTCCCTTCTGGGGAACCATCGTTGCCAATCTCCAAGTGAGGGCTGGAGATCACTCAAAATGACAACTGTTCTTTAGGTAGCAGAGATCAGTTCCTCTGGAAAAAATGGTGGACTCAATGTCATTATACCCTGCTGAGGTCGCCACAGCAAATTGACACTGAGTGTCCAAGGCCGGGGCACCCACCCAGAGCCTCTTTCTAGAGGATATATGCCAAGTGCATAGCTGAGTACAGAAAAGGAGTAGCATAAACAGGCAGATTTCCTGAAAGAAGACGTCTCCCCCAGACAGGTGCCTGGATTCTTGTTTGTTTTGTTCTCAGAGCATAGCTATTGGCCTGTATAAAATCTGTGCACCCCTTGGCCCTTCAGACTCTGCTGACAGGTCCAGAACTGCACAGGGATGCCACTGGTACACACTTCCAGAGATCATTCACCCCTGTTAGGAGTCTCCAGAGAGCTGAAGGGATATTGTAAGACCTCTCTGTTTTTCCTGTGTTTTGCAATCATCACCCTTACTGTAACACTGTGTAACCTTTAATAAACACCTTATTTGAAGGAACATCTCCTTCCATATGTCCCTGTGTACCAACTACAGTTGTCCATTCATCCATTCATTGGCTATCTACTTAGGGTGGCCTGTCTGGCATCAACCAGAGTCCATCCTTCTCCATCATGGCTCTGCTTCTGTACAATGAGCTCCCTAAAGACGTGAGGGGGCCCCCTCCTTTGAGATCTTCAGGAGGTGCTGCAAGGCCCGTCTGTTTGCCAGGGCTTTTGATGTGGTTTGAAAGGCAGGAATCTTTTTTTGGGGGGGAAGAGATTTTGGGTTTGCTCTCTTATTTTTGGATTTAATTGAAAATGTTTTTAACTATTATTGTAAGCCACCAGGAACCACCAGGAAATGCAAGATGTAAATATTTTAATCAATACAAAACTAATCATAAGCACACATGATTTGCCTTTGCTCAGGCACCCTCTTCAAATCTGAGAGCAAAATCTAGCTCAGGGGTGGCCAAACTGCAGTTTGGCAGCCACATGCAGCTCTTTCACACAGTCTAATTTAATGTTAATAAAAAGCAAATTTGCATATTTTCCAATTAAAATGTGTGAGTAATATTTATTCATATCTTGTAGCTCTCAAACATCTGACGTTTATTCTGTGTGGCTGTTATGTTAAGCAAGTTTGGCCACCCCTGATCTAGCCGGTCCAACCTCTGAAAGTAATACACTTAACCAGTGACAATGAGGGTAGGCTCTCCCATTACTTCCTCAGTCACCACCACTGGAAGCATGGGAGGTGACAATGAGGAAGCAATGACCTATTGTCATCATCTTCATCACTGGCCCGGTCCAAGGTGAGAGCTCCCTGTGACACTGCCAGCACTGCCTAGGCTCAGCATTGCTTGCTCATGGCCACCAGTAGCTTTTCAATACAATGGTTTGCTGGGGACTTGTCCAGTAAATGAAAGGGCCAATTTCCCCCAGTTGCTCTGTTCCACTTGCTTTAATTGACCTTAGCTGCTCTCAGGTTTCTGAAGCTAATCAGTCTTTAGCAGGCCATTATGGGGGGTATTCTTTTTATTTTTTTAATCACAGACTCATATTTTTTTGCATCCTTAGTGAGTACTCCAAACATGGAGATAGTCCAGTCTTCTCTTTCCTTTTGCTACCTTCATGATAGGCTCTTAAGCACAGAGTTTTCCATTATGGGGAAGGATTTCATGGTTACTGCCATTTCCTGCTTGTGCTAATTATAGCTTTATTAGAATTGATGGGCAGATCACTAGAATTAACCTGAAGACCATCATGCATCTACTTTTCAAAGTGCCAAGGAAGTGGGAGACAAGACAACTAAGCTTCAGCTGTCTCTTCTACTAAGGAATGCTTGAACGTTCACCCGTTTGGTCATAGATTGTTCTGGTCATAGCCAGGGAGCCAATTATCTGACAGACTCTTTGTCTGTTTGTCAGCCTGTTCTTGACTGCTCATCATTTGCATCAACTATTCCTTCCTGACAGTACCGTACAGCATTTGCCAACCATGAACATCAGATGCAATGCTACTTGGTCTACATGGCAAGTATGATTAGAAACCCTTCTAAACCACGTGACAAAAGTACTTTCATATAGATTTCCCACATAAGGGCCTCAATGTTTACAACTTTTAATTCACATCTCTGGAAAAAAAATAAAAAGAAGAATTTCATGGCAAAAATGTATTAGATGCCCTTTTTTGTTTCTTTCAGTTTCATAAGAATGCACTGGAGGGTTTTTATCCCACTTATTTTCTGGGCTGGTTTCCCCATTTTGTCAATTTTCTTTATGAAGTTTTGTGCAAAAACAGGCTACAGTTTGTGTGTTAAAACAATGTTTGTTTGCACCTGAGTTCTTACACCTTCCAGCAGGGATGCTCAGGAGAAAGGCAGGCCTATAAATATTTTTAAACAAATAAATATTTCCCCATCATTGCTGCACTTCTAGGCAGGCAACTATTTAAACAGACAGATAAATCAGTCACAAATATAAACCAATCATAAATCACCCCCTCTTGTTTTTTAAAAAAATCCTAAAATTGGGTGTAGGATCCAATTTTTTTGAATCAGCGGCATTTTCATGCTTGCCTAGTTTTGTGAAAAGCAGGTGCAACCTTGTTTGCCTGCTGTTCGGTGCCAAAGTGAATGGACCTGGCGATCACTCCAGTCAAACATGGTGCGTTTATCTGTCAAACACATTCACCAAGAAATTTGCAGCAGCCCTACTTCTAACTCAGTGCCTTTCTGCACCATTGTCTCTTCTTTGCTCTGTAGTAGAGTATTTGTGCCCCATCCACAAATAGTGAAGGAGGGTAGACAAAACTACTGGGAAAGGAAAAGGCTGGGACCAGCCACTTCTCCAGTTGTGTTGGGACTTTAAAGAGCATTTGCAACAGCTCCAGATAGTAAGATGGCAACCCTAGGTAAGTATCATGTAGCAGTAATTTAACATAGTCATTTATTTAGTCTTCCTATCCAGAGTTCTTACCCAGGTCAATGTGAAAAAATAAGGCTATATTACACTGGCAGAGTGGATTTTTTAAAAAATGGCCAAGTTTCCATTTTCCTAAGTTTCCATTTACATAGATAGCAGCATCTATATATCTAATAGCCAAGGTGCCCCCTGCGTGCGGATACTTATTTACGCACATCGGGGGCACCTGGGGGGGAGAGAGATTTTCGTGCACACTTGGGGCAGTCCCCAGGTGTGCACAAAAATCTGTAAACCTGAAAAAAATATTGGGGGGATACTTAAATCCCCCCAAAAGTGACAGAGCATTCCCTGCGCAGGCGCAGGAAATGCTCTACGAACTCCCTTGCTGCCGCCACCGCCGCTTTGAAGCCAAGGGGGGGGGGAAGAGAGCAGCGAGGCCTGAGCGGCTTGCAGCCGCCGGGCCTCCCTTCAGAGATGGGGGGGGGATCGAGCTGGGGGGG